GAAACAGAGGGGAAGGGTACAGAGATAGGAGTGTTACATCAGAGCTAATTCAATCAGGGTGGGTGTGGCTTATCAGTTAATCCTGTCAACTACACATGTACCCCTCCCCTTGCTGCCTCTGAATCAGAGGCAGCGGTGGCTGAGAGAGGGGGGTAGCAGGCAGGCACCAGTACCTGTGGGGAGCTGTCTTTTAAGAGAGGCAGCAGCATGTAGACTGGGGTGGGCAATAATTTTTGACGGGGGGAGCACGCCAAGATTTTGGAAAGTGGTTAAGGGCCACATTCTTCAGTGATGTTAATGGAGGAGGTTGGGGGTCTGGGGTGGAGGTTGGGTGCAGAAGGGAGCTTGGGGTGAGGGACTGGATTGCAGGAGGGAGACTGGAGTCTGGGAGGGAGTTTGGATGAAGGAGATGCTTGTGACCTAGGGCAGGGGACTAGGCATGAGAGAAAGGGGAAGGGAGGGGGGGCAACGAGGAAGGAAGAAGGCTTCCTACATTGCCACTGATTCCAGAAAAAATTCTTGGCTCTTATTGGCTGGAAACTGAGAGATTGGCCAATGGCTGCTAAGAGATTTGCTGGGGGGAGGGAGCAGAGAACATCTGGCTTCCTGAAAAATTAACTGATCTCTGCCTGAGGGTTCTGGCTGGGAGCCACGGGCTGGATCTGCTGGCTTGGTGGGCCGCATCTGGCCTGCTGGCAGCCTCATGCCCACCGCTGCTGTAGAGTGAGGAGGGCTGATGGGAGCCAGTACACATGGGAAGCGGCTTTCAAGCAAGGTCCCCACACATATCTGCCATGGAGCTGCCAGTCCCCCAGCAGTCTATCAGAGGCAGCAGCGCTGGGGCAGGGAGTAGGTGATATTCCAGAGCAGGATCTGTCCATGGCTTCTCCATGGGAAGCTGGAGCAGCCTCTGTCTGCGAGGAACCTGACCACTTCGCGAACAGGGGCTGCTGTCGCCCCCTGCTGCTACCTCTGCTACAGAGGCAGCAGCACGGGATGCTAGGGGGCTTGCTGTATATGGGGCCAGGATCACGCTGGCTGCTGGCCCCATTCCCAGGAACTATTAAATAATCATGTAACCACTAAGATTTGCAGCAGTTACACAATTAATAAATTAAATGACATCTAACATCCCTAGCAGTAGGTCACAAGCGGCGAGGGGCGGGAGTAGGGACTGTCACTCACCCAGAAGGGGCCAGAAAGGGAACTGAGGCACAGCGGGCTGGTCCGGCTGAGAAGAGCAGGGAACAACGCAGGTCCCAGAAGAGGCACAGAAGTGACGGCTCGAAGACACCACTAGAAGAAAGTGCATTGGTGACCAAGAGCTAATTCCCAGCATGGCTAGAAGGAGTGGTTCCCACCCCATTACAAATGGGCACGCCTGTCTGCTTTCTATCTCTCCCTTCCTGTTCTGTGATCCGAGGTACACTACCCAGCTTTTAGCAACACAACTGTGTCAACGCAGCCCTATGGCACAAAGTGGAGCAACGTAAACACCGTTTGTCTGCACTTCAGTTGACAAAACACTTCCACCCTTAGGAGCACGACTCCTGCTGGCAAACCACTGTTTGCACTAGTACTTGGCCTAGTATTTGGTTGGGCAAAGCTTTTGTCATTGGGCAAGTCAAACACCTCTGAACGACCAAAGCTTTGGGGCTCAAAATCTTGTGGGCTGCATCTAGGTTGAAAACTTACCAGTTGTCTACACTGGCCGCTTGATTTTGCGCAAAAGCACTGACGTTCTACTGTCCGAAATCAGTGCTTCTTGTGCAAATGCTTTGACATTCCCGTTCAGGCAAAAGCCCTTTTCCGGAAATGCTTTTGCGCAAGAGGGCCAGTGTAGACAGCTAAGAAGTGTTTTGTGCAAAAAAGCCCCGATTGCGAAAATGGCGATCAGGGCTTTCTTGCGCAAAACCGTGTCTAGATTGGTACGGACACTTTTCCGCAATAAGTGCTTTTGCGCAAAAGCATCCGTGCCAATCTAGACGCTCTTTTCCGTAAATGCTTTTAATGGAAAAACTTTTTCTTTAAAAGCATTTGCGGAAAATCATGCCAGTCTAGACGTAGCCGTGGTGTTTTAGATGATGCTTGTAATGATTTGAACTGGGAGCACTAGCTGTTGGGAGTCTGGAAGAACAGGAAACAGGAAGGAGCAGGGAGGAGATGGGCCAGGGCTGAGAGTGAGAGCTACAGAGGGGAGCAGCAGCAGCTTTGTAAAGAAGTTTCACCTTTGGTAAATAAAGGCCTGTTGAAGTTGGTTAGTACCTTGCTTGCATGATACAACAAATCTCTGCTCCTGGGACAGCAAATTTTGACAGGTGCGAGAAGGTTATGCCTATCACCATGTGCTCGCTTTCATCTTTCCTTATATATATATAAGTACCCCCAGTACCTACAGTTTTCAGACACACAATTTTTTTTCTACCACTGCAACACATTTGTTTAAACAACTTAATTGTAGCCAGGCAGGTGATGAAAATTTTGGGTGTAAGAAGTACAAAAATAATAAAGTGGTATAAAACTTAAAACAAAAGTTCAATTTTCTCCAAATTTCAGTTGTGTTGACATCTCCTTCCCCCCCTTCCTCCCTCCTGACTAAGGGTATTCATACTACTGGTTGAGAAACATTGCTCTAGAGGTAAGGAATTGTGACAGGGCATTCTGAGCAAAAGAATAAATTTGTGCTATTAAAAAAATAATGAGGACTGCTGATTAAATTACAGTTAACTCAATTAACACAAACTCAGTTGAGATTAATTATTTGAATCACACTATTAAACAATAAGGTATTGACTGAAATGTGTTCAGTATTTGTGCATATTTTTCTGCATTGTCAAATGGATTGATTTCAAATATAACAATACAAAATGTACGGGGCTCATTTTATGTTTGTATTACAAATATTTGCACTGGAAAAAAATAGCATTTTTCAATTCACCTCATTCAAGTACCATAGTGCAATCTCTTTCTTGTGAAAGCGTCATTTACAAATGTAGATTTTTGTTGTTACATAGCTGCGTTCAAAAATAAAAATGTAAAAAGTCTTGCCTAGCCCACCAGCAGGCTGTGCATCCAGCAGTAGCGGGACTGGTGGCTGGAAGCCCTGCCAGGATGGTGGCAAGAGGGCTGATGCCGACTTCCCTTCATCCGGCAAACTCCCTCGTTCGGGACCAGTCAAGCCCTTAGGGTGCAGAGCCAAGGCGGCCCAGCTATTGCACAATTGTTTTTTCTAAGATCCAACCTCCCCCACTGCAACTTGAGCCGGTTGCTCCTCTTCTGCCACCTGCCACCCCTGAGAACAGCCTCTCTCCACCCTCTTTGGAAACCCCCTCTCAGGCTGTGGAAGGCAGCTCGTAAATCTCCCTTTCTTCTTCTCTAGTGCTGGCAGTTCATAGGCCCAGCACTTCTGGGCTTGTTGCATCAGTGTTAAAAAAAAAAAAAGGCTTGATCTCTTTTATTCCAAAGGAAGCAGTGAAACTGGACTCCGTCCCTTCCACTCCCTGCTGCATCCGCTTTTCTGGTGTGTGGGGGCAGGAATCTGGCTGGAATCTGCCCCTTTCTGTCCCTTCCAGGTCTGCAGCTCCTGGAGATGGGGGAGGAGGAGGTGGACATCTGGACTTAGTTGCTTTAATCCATTAAGGCTTGCCCGGATCCAGCCCCACCTGAGGCTCAGGGCTCCCCCTCCCAGCATTGGGGAGCCTGTCCTGGCACTCCATCCCCACATCTATCCACCATGCAGCTGGAGCACACAAGATCTACTAGCCTGAGACCCTCTAGGCTTTGATGCGGGGCCACACCAGTGAGGGTTTGGGGATTTTTTGTTTTTTGGGGGGGGGGGAAGTTGTTTGTTGGTTTGGGTTTTTTTTTGCCTGTCACTTACGCGCAGCCCTGACAGATTCAGAGATGTCAGAGCAGGAAGAGACCGTGAGCAGAGGCGGAGGATAGGGGTAGGGGGTGCGAGCAAGGGGGTGCTGGATTGCCCTAGTGGCGCCCCTCAATGAGCCCCAGGTAGGACTCAGCCCCACGGAGGTGCACAGAAAGGTGGGAAGGGGGGGGGGCAGAGGGACCTGCTGCAAAGTCCGTGAAACTTTGCGGAGCTTTTCTCTGCGGCAAGGAGCAGGCCAAAACCTGCTGCGCAGTTGTGAAATCAGCAGAAGGAAGCTGCTGAGTCCCGCCCCCTATTTTAACAAGCTGCTGAATTCTGGTGACCCACTGGCCCTGCCCACCGAGCATAAAAGCTCTGACAAGCCGCTGAGAACACACTTGGCTGCTCAGTCTGGGCTGGCTGACAAGGAGGGTGGTTGGGAGCCGTCGGTCACTGCCTGCTGCGAAGCCACCAGGACTCCACGCTGCCCCAGCCGACCACCCTGTGGGAAACCTGGAGCAAAGGTGACAAGGTGCTGACAGGTGGCAGCCACTCAGCTATGTCCAGGGTTATGAAGCCCTGTAATGGGGCAGGGATAGCAGTGGGAAGGGAGGATGGATGATGGGAGCTAATGGCACCCCAGCGTTTGCCTTAGCCCTCCCCCTTGCTGCCCCGTAGCACCCTGCTGTCAGAATTTGCTACTTGGCTTGTTCTCACTTACCTCTGAAAGCCTCTGTCCTCCCATGTTTCAAAATCAGGAGCAAATGGGGGGGGAGGTCTGAGCAGGAGGTGGAAACTGGTGTGTGGGGGGTGTCAGATAGCTGGAGGCAGGGGCAGGAAAGGGGCTGAGGGTAAAATTGGGGAGGGGGGAAGAAGAGCCAAGTTAAGCCTAAGAGTGAGGGGCTGCAAGGTTGTGACAGACGAGTCGGTCCCCACCCCATGTTGTAGAACAGATTCTTGACAAATTTGCTGTATGTAGTGATGGCCATGGGGGGCTGGTACCTCATTCTGAAAAATTAAAAGCTTCAGAGGGGGCAGCCGAGTGAGGCTGTAACAGGAAAAACTTTAAAAACAACCAGCAGTCGAGTAGCATCTTATAGACTAACAAGACATGTAGATGGGGTCATGAGCTTCTGTGGGCAAAACCCACTTCTTCAGATGACTGGAGTGTTGGAAGTCCAGATCCGAGAATAATAAGGGAAGGGGAGAGGAGGGAGAAGGAAAAAAAGAGAAAAAAGGAAGGGGAAAAGAGAGAGACAGTGAGTAGACAGTTCAGATAGTTATGAGAAGCTGATAAGAACAATGGTCACTTCCATTGTTTGTTTGTTTGGTTAAGTCATTAGTATGTGGAAGATAGTGTGTGAACCAGCTGATATACTGGTTTATACCATTTGCACATCCACTAATGGGATCTGAGCCATCAAATGCTAGCAATGCCCCTCTGCCATGGATATTGGCCACACTGAACCATCTCTATGGGAAAGAATTAAAGGACACAAATCAGGTATCCGAAAAGGCAACACTCAGAAACCTGTTGGAGAACACTTTAACCTGCCTGGGCACTCACTAATGGATCTCGAAGTCTCTGTGTTGTTTCAGACCAATTCCACAAGCCAAATACAGAGAAGGGTTGGAACGTAACTTCATTCACAAGTTTAATTCTTATGTAAATGATATGAACCGGATATCAGCTGGCTCGCACAATACCTTCCACATCCTAATGACTTAACCAACCAACTAATGGAGGTGCTAACCACATCTTAATGACTTAAGAATGAAGATGCTAATTGTTCTTATCGACCTCTTACAACTATTTGAACTATCTGCTCACTGTCTCTCTTCTCCTCCTCCCCCCCGCCTCCTTTTTTCTTTTTTTCCTTCTCCCCCCTCTCACATTCCCTTATTTATTCTTGGATCTGGACTTCCAACACTCCAGTCATCTGAAGAAGTGGGTTTTGCCCACAGAAGCTCATGACCCCATCTACATGTCTTGTTAGTCTATAAGATGCTACTCGACTGCTGGTTGTTTTTAAAGTTTTTCCTGTTACAGCCTCACTCGGCTGCCCCCTCTGAAGCTTTTAATTTTTCAGAATGAGGTACCAGCCCCCCATGGCCATCACTACATACAGCAAATTTGTCAAGAATCTGTTCTACAACATGGGGTGGGGACCGACTCGTCTGTCACAACCTTGCAGCCCCTCACTCTTAGGCTTAACTTGGCTCTTCTTCCCCCCTCCCCAATTTTACCCTCAGCCCCTTTCCTGCCCCTGCCTCCAGCTATCTGACACCCCCCACACACCAGTTTCCACCTCCTGCTCAGACCTCCCCCCCCATTTGCTCCTGATTTTGAAACATGGGAGGACAGAGGCTTTCAGAGGTAACTGAGAACAAGCCAAGTAGCAAATTCTGACAGCAGGGTGCTACAGGGCAGCAAGGGGGAGGGCTGAGGCAAACGCTGGGGTGCCATTAGCTCCCATCATCCATCCTCCCTTCCCACTGCTATCCCTGCCCCATTACAGGGCTTCATAACCCTGGACATAGCTGAGTGGCTGCCACCTGTCAGCACCTTGTCACCTTTGCTCCAGGTTTCCCACAGGGTGGTCGGCTGGGGCAGCGTGGAGTCCTGGTGGCTTCGCAGCAGGCAGTGACCGACGGCTCCCAACCACCCTCCTTGTCAGCCAGCCCAGACTGAGCAGCCAAGTGTGTTCTCAGCGGCTTGTCAGAGCTTTTATGCTCGGTGGGCAGGGCCAGTGGGTCACCAGAATTCAGCAGCTTGTTAAAATAGGGGGCGGGACTCAGCAGCTTCCTTCTGCTGATTTCACAACTGCGCAGCAGGTTTTGGCCTGCTCCTTGCCGCAGAGAAAAGCTCCGCAAAGTTTCACGGACTTTGCAGCAGGTCCCTCTGCCCCCCCCCCTTCCCACCTTTCTGTGCACCTCCGTGGGGCTGAGTCCTACCTGGGGCTCATTGAGGGGAGCCACTAGGGCAATCCAGCACCCACTTTCTCCTCCCCACTGCACCCCCACAACCTGGCTCTTCCCTACCCCTATCCTCCGCCTCTGCTCACGGTCTCTTCCTGCTCTGACATCTCTGAATCTGTCAGGGCTGCGCGTAAGTGACAGGCAAAAAAAAACCCAAACCAACAAACAACTTCCCCCCCCCCCAAAAAACAAAAAATCCCCAAACCCTCACTGGTGTGGCCCCGCATCAAAGCCTAGAGGGTCTCAGGCTAGTAGATCTTGTGTGCTCCAGCTGCATGGTGGATAGATGTGGGGATGGAGTGCCAGGACAGGCTCCCCAATGCTGGGAGGGGGAGCCCTGAGCCTCAGGTGGGGCTGGATCCGGGCAAGCCTTAATGGATTAAAGCAACTAAGTCCAGATGTCCACCTCCTCCTCCCCCATCTCCAGGAGCTGCAGACCTGGAAGGGACAGAAAGGGGCAGATTCCAGCCAGATTCCTGCCCCCACACACCAGAAAAGCGGATGCAGCAGGGAGTGGAAGGGACGGAGTCCAGTTTCACTGCTTCCTTTGGAATAAAAGAGATCAAGCCTTTTTTTTTTTTAACACTGATGCAACAAGCCCAGAAGTGCTGGGCCTATGAACTGCCAGCACTAGAGAAGAAGAAAGGGAGATTTACGAGCTGCCTTCCACAGCCTGAGAGGGGGTTTCCAAAGAGGGTGGAGAGAGGCTGTTCTCAGGGGTGGCAGGTGGCAGAAGAGGAGCAACCGGCTCAAGTTGCAGTGGGGGAGGTTGGATCTTAGAAAAAACAATTGTGCAATAGCTGGGCCGCCTTGGCTCTGCACCCTAAGGGCTTGACTGGTCCCGAACGAGGGAGTTTGCCGGATGAAGGGAAGTCGGCGTCAGCCCTCTTGCCACCATCCTGGCAGGGCTTCCAGCCACCAGTCCCGCTACTGCTGGATGCCCAGCCTGCGGGTGGTCTAGGAATATCTGTGGCCCTGACAGATCACAAATGTTGCTGCACCAGGAAGTCCTGGTGTGACGGACCGGGCCGGGTCTGGGCACGGCTGAGGGCATCCGCTCAGGGCAAATTGCTCAAACTCGGGGCTCCTTGCAGCCCCAGACTGGAGACCCCTCCCAAATAGGCCACTCAGCACTCACACCAAGCACTATAGCTGCCAATCCAGCCAGACAGAAGCCTCACAAGCAAAACCCCTCAGACACCCCAGCTCTCCCTGTGCCCCGATCATCCCCAGGCCTAACACAAAGGTGAGGGGTTCTAGATCCCAATCTCACCTACCCTGAATGGGTTCTCCCGGTCCCAAGAACCCAGCCATAAGTCCCAATCAATTTACACTCTGGATCTTACACACAAGACCACACTGAGCCAGTCCTTTGGAATCTAAAATCTAAAGGTTTATTACTGAAAGAAAGAAAAGCATGAGAGTGAGGTTGTTAAGGAGAATACATTACATGCACCGAATCTCCCAGTTCTCAATGCAGGCTCTTAGCAGAGATGTTATAAACTGCTATCTTAAAAGTCTCTGGTGCACATCCTATGTCAGGATGGGTCCACGGTTCTTCCCGGCTCGGTGTTCCCTGCAAGGCTGCCTCTGGGATCAGGAGCTGAACTCGAGACAAGATGGAGGGTGCCACATGGCACTTACATACCTCTCCTGGCATCTTCCTGGCCACAATAGGTAAAGCACTTATATACCTCTCCTGGTATCTTCATGGCCACAATAGGTAAGGGAACTATCCCTGTTTCACATACTTGCAGCCATTATGTCCCTGACTGGTTGGCAACACATACTTGCAGCCATTATGTCCCTGGCTGGTTGGCAGGTACATTCCTTCAGGTCCATGGAGTCTCACTAATTAGCACAGAAATTGAATGAACATTTCTGGCCCATTGCTCAGACACAGACAGAGAATTTTCCACCATCAACCCAGAGTACATGTTTATAACTCCGCACACAGAGCCACCAGAGCCAATACAGAGACCCAGCAACTTCCTTTTGCTGATTTTGCAACTGCGCAGCAAGTTTTGGCCTGCTCCTGGCAGCTGAGAAAAATTCCTCAAAGTTTCACAGGCTTTGCAGCAAGTCCCCTTGGGCCACCCCCACTGTGCACCTCCGTGGGGCTCAGTCCTGCCTGTAGCACCCGGGGGGGGGCTCTCTGAGGGGAGCCACTGGGACATGCAGGCACCCAATTTCTCCTCCCCACAGCACCCCGACAACCTGGCTCTTCCCTACCCCCATTCCCTGCCTCCGCTCATGGTCTCTCCTTACACTGACATCTCTGAATGTCAGAAATAGATGTTAAAGGGGCAGAATTCAGCTGCCTTTTCCCACCCCAACTCATAGCTACGGGAAGAAAAGGGTCCCATTTCAGTAGGAGCCCGAATATCATGGTTGATCTGGCCTGGAACAGAGGAGTCCAGGAGGAGGCAAGAAAGCAGAGTGTCCGTCACGCTGAGAGTGAGGGACAGGGGTCAAAATTGTACCAGGGTGCAAGCTAAGGGGGCAACCCAAATTGTAACGGGGGAACGGCTGGGGGTGGAGCTCCAGAAATCACGAAGTACCCCTGATTTCTCTATCTAGGCGTGTGTGTGTGATGCAAGCTCATATTCTTGCAATTTGCATTAACCACCGCCTCACAGCAGGGGGGGAATTTCCTCCCACAGGGAACATGAGCTGAATCGTGCTGCACAGAAAGCGGTTTTCAGCCAACCCTCCCACACTGCGGCCGCCTAATGAGAGAACCTGTCTAGCCAGGGGCAGATGACCATTTTGCAGGGCCCAGGGCAGCACAATTTCGCGGGGCCCCCCTTTGCCACGGCGCATGCACGGTGGCGCCATGCGTATGCGCGGTGGCGCCATGGCACGTGCACAGGGCTTCTTGAAGCATGGGGCCCGGGGAGGCCACCCCGCTCACCCTGCCCTATATCTGCCCCTGTGTCTAGCCACTCCCAGAGCATGCAAACATGCTGAAAACTGCCCTCAAGGCAAGTTCCTTCCTGACCCTTCTTCGACTGTGCCCTGAAGCATAAGAGTTTATCGCCCTGCCCAAACTTTTTTAGTGATTACTTAAAATAAAAAATTAGTATCAGAGGGTATGTCTACACTACCCTCCTAGTTCAAACTAGCGGGGTAATGTAGGCATACCACACTTGCAAATGAAGCCCGGGATTTGAATTTCCCGGGCTTCATTTGCATAAGCGGGGCGCCGCCATTTTTAAATCCTCACTCGTTCGAACCCCGTGCCGCGCGACTAGACGCGGCACGAACTAGGTAGTTCGGACTAGGCTTCCTAGTCTGAACTACCGTTATTCCTCGTGGAAGCCGAGACTTAAAAACCTCTAGCGATGGAGATTCCACCCCCTCCCTAGGGAGCCCACCCCAGTGTTTCCCCACCCGCCTAGGGAAATAGTTTTTCCTAATATCCAACCTAGACCTCTCCCAGGTAACATAAAATAACAATAAGGGTGGGGCAGAAAAGTTCGCTCTGACTCTCCTAAGCATCTGGGAAATATCAGGCATATTAATGTGCTAACGAGACTGCGATGGCTGCATGACCAGCGGTGAAAGTAACTTAAATTGTCTTACAGGGATTGTCCTTTTGTCTAGCTCTGTAAATAGCTCCCCACTGGCTTTTGCTGCAGCTGGGCCAACTCTTGCTGGGGTACTGCCTTACTTTCCCATCCGTGCATGACACAAATAAAATAACATTTGGAATGAACGCCTGGGATACAAAGAAGGAGCCTTAGGAATGGAGGAATCCTGGAAAAACTCCGCTGTGTCCAGGGAACACATTCGCTCTTCCAGGGTTTTTTTGCGGAAGCGCTAACGCGACATTCGCTCTTCCAGGGTTTTTTTGCGGAAGAGCTAACGCGCTCTTGCCAGGTCATCCATGATGGAAAATTGTCAAAAAAATTCCAGGTCACAACAGGTGTACGCCAAGGCTGCCTTCTTTCACCGTTACTCTTCCTGATTGTCTTAGACTGGGTCACAAAAACAGCGTATGCTGATTCAGGAAGGGGACTCCAATGGACTCGAACTAGGAAACTTTAAGATCTAAAGTTTGCAGATGACTTAGCCCTGCTTGCAGACAAATTAGAGCATATGCAAGAGAAGACAGAAGCCCTACAGCATGGGTTCCTAAACTGGGAGGTGTGAAGAAATTCCAGAGGGGGCCTGAGGCGACCCAGACTCTCCCCCACCAAGTTGCTGTCCTGTCCCGTCCCCTCCCCCCCATCAAGTTTTGCTGCCCCTGTCCAGTTCCATTTTATTTTATTTTTTTTTGCTCGCTCAAGAAGTTTTGCTGCTATTTGGGGGAGGGGAAGGGAGGGTTTCTCAAAAATCAGAAAGGGAGTATGATGCCGAAAAGTTTGGAAACCACTGCTTTAGGTCAATGGAAGTTTTGACTTAATATGGACAGAGTGAAAAGAACAGCTCCTTTCCCTATGGTGACAGGATATTTAGGATGTTGTGGTCCATGTGGATCTCACTGTAGGCTGTGCATGCACATCCTGGGCACAAAATGGAATTCTTTTGAATATCAATGTCTTTCAGAGCTTTCTGAATCTCTATGCCAATGTGATAGCAGCCAGAATAACTGTCTCAAGGGCAAGGTTGTATGGGGAGATTTCGGCAAACCCAGTAATGTGCCTGAACCACTATTGCTTACTGCTTGAACTTTAGCAACCAAGCTAACAGGCCCAAAATAGGCCTAGACAGCATGACCAAGTCAGGGAGGGGGAAGAAGGGGAGTTTGGGTGCCACAGAGAGGGCA